AGCTTCATCCCTGCAGGCTTTCAAGAAGAGACTGGACTGCCATCCGTCAGAAGTGGTGTAGGGTCTCCTGCTTGGGCAGGGGGTTGGACTAGATGACCTGCAAGGTCTCTTCCAACTCTCTTATTCTACGACACTATTCTGAGACCTTTTCCCCAAAGTGAAGGAATACCACTACAGGCATCCATTTGACTCAAATGACGAGGTGAAAAAAAAAAGTAAGGGCTTGACTGAAGAGGCAGACTGTAGAGTTTGTGGTGATTTTAAGATATCTGCCTGTCATTGATAGACATGCATAGCGAATGGTGGTAGACAATTACATACAAGTAATGAAAGAATTAGTTTCAGTCATTATTTCCATTTAAATTTATTCAACTATCCATATTTAAAGTAAAGTTATGCTGGGGGGGGGGGCTTACTTTTCATTCAATGTGCTGATATTGAAGTGTCTCCAGGGTTTGCTGGGATCAATAAATTTATAAAATAATGATCACCAAACTGTCTTCTCCTCGAGCTAAACATCACCAGTTCCATAAGCATTTCTTCAGAACCTTAGCCTTTAAGCCAGGGTTCTCCACCACTTGGGAACTTTTAAGACTTGTGGACTTCAACTCCCAGAGTTCCCCAGCCAGCATGGCCGTTGAAGTCCACGACTCTTAAAAGTTCCCCAAGTTTGGAGATCTCTGCTTGAAGCCCCAAAAGCTATTTCAATACCGGGAAATTCCTAAAGCGGGATTAGAAAGAATATCGCAGAGAAGCTCTCTTGACGATGGACTGTAGCTTCATTAATAGCAGGCTGGGGGCCTCTAGATGGGATGTATAGCAAACGCAGACCTACAGGGGGAAAGGCAACAGTGACTTGCAAATGCAGGGTCATTAAACTTTCTGTTGTCTAATTCGTGCCAAGCTTTCTGCCAGAAATTCTGGAAGTGGTTCAACTCTGCAGCCCTGAACGGCACTGGAGATCAATACGGAAAGAGTTCTGCAGTAATCTTGCATCAAACTGTCTCCCTTATTTAGAATCAACACCAAAGGATGTCTACCGTACATCCTTGTACGTAAGATCATCCACTGTTTTTACCAATTTACCAAATGGGGTGCAGAAAGAAATGTATTGCTACTCTTTTTTGTCTTATATAGAAGGTGAAGTAGGAAGGCTAAGAATAATGATAGGTGGCACCACATAGACAACCAAGAATAAACCTGGAAGCTTAGCAGGACTGATCCTTGTAGGTACTTAGATGCTGGAGCAAACTGGTATTTCCTGACTCCAGGACAGACTGGGAAATTTGGGGGAAGAAGAGAAGTTTTCCCAGAACTCCACTGATAAAGCATTGAGTTTTTCTCCAACAGAGATACCGTGTTTCCCCGAAAA